TGCGTGCGTGTGTTCCACCCGAACCCCGAATGCCCACCCGCACTCTCTCCTCTCTCCACCTCCCGAATCCCTTCTCCACCTCCCGACTCCCCGACTCCCCGACCGCCTGAATGAATGAATGAATAAATGAATGAATGAATGAACCATCCATCCAATGCATCCCCTCTCCCTTCCGCTCTCCTCTCCCGCCCTTCCTCCCTCTCTCCCCGCACGAATGAATCAATGCTTCTTTCTTTCTCCCTCTCCACTACCTCTCTCCACTCCCCGCGTGCCTTCCTCTCCCTCTCTCCCCGCACGCTTACTATCGCATGCGCGTGCAACTCTCCCCGACCGCCAGCACTCCCCCCGACACCACTCTGGCCCGACCTGCGCCCTTGCCAACAAGAACAACACCCCCGCCCGCGTTCGCCCCCGCCTTTCTTTTTTCTTTTTTCTTTTTTCTTTTCTCCCCACCGCCCTATTGCCCCACCGCCCTATCGCCCCACCGCCCGAATACCGACCGACTGACCGTCTGCAAACCTTCCCTCCTCTCCCCCCCGAACTCTCTCCTCTGCAAACTCACTCTGCACCGCCCTCTGCCGAACACCGCGCACCTTCAACCAATAAACCTACCCGCGTATACCACCCCCTTTCTCTTCTCTTCTCTGCCTGCGTGTGTGAATGAATGAATGAATGCATCCATCCCTGCCCGTGCCCCGACCGCACAAACAAGCCCTTCTCCCGACTGCCTCTGCTTTCTTCTGCCCTCTCTCCGCCAAGGATCCACCCGAACCACCCTCTCTCCCCTCCCGACCGACTCCTTCCTCCACCGATCTTTTTGATGGCCTGCGGCCGAGTGAATGCCTGCCCTCCCCGACCACAGAAGGAAGAAGGAAGGAGGGAGAAGGAAAGAGCACAGCGCGCCTCCCTCTATAAGCCCTCCCCACCCGAACTCTCTTCTCTTCTCTCTGAAAAATAAAACCAAACTAAAATAAAATAAAACCGTACACTTTTTTCTCCACCCCTTTATTTCTTCCCGACCCACCACGCAACACCCGAAGACAAGCCCGAACTCTCCACCCGCACACCACACCACGAACACCACACCCTCCCCGCGCTGCGCTGTGCTCGCCCTGCGCCCTGAGACCCTGCCTTCTGCCCCCACGCGCTATCGCGCTCTGTCTGCCCCACCCGGGTGTGCCTTCCTTCTGCCCGAAACCTCCCCGACCCTCTCCCTCTCCTTCCCTCTGCCTCCCCGAACACCCTCTCCCCGCCACCCGAACGAACGAAGAAGGAAAGAAGGAATGAATGAATGAAAAGAGAAGGAAGGAAGAAAAAAGAAAAAAGAAAGAGAGGCAGAGGGAGGGGAGAGAAGAGCAGAGAGAAAAAAGAAAAAAGAAAAATAAAAATAAAAAAGAGAGAGCAGAGCAGAGGAGAGGAGAGAAGGAGAGAGCAGAGAGGGAGGAAAAAGAAAAAGAAAAAAGAAAAGAGAGCAGAGGGCAGAGAGAAGAGGGGAGAAGGAGAGAAGGTGACCCGCAGGCGAACAGGTGAGAAAAGAAAGCCTGCACTGCCAAGCCTTCCTTCCTCTCTCCCTCTCTCCTCTACATCCTCCCTCCCTCTCTTTCTCTCTGCCTCTGCCTCTGCCTGTCTCTCTGCTCTCCTCTCTCCCCAGGCCTCTCTCCCCTCCCCGCGCTGCGCACGCGCCAAGGCGCACACACACAGCTCTCCACACGCCCCTTTTGCCGAGCCGCCCTGCGCCTGCGCGCGCGAAAGGAGGTTAAGCACGCCCCCGCGCCCAAGGACTGCGATGGGAGACCGCGTCGCGCCCGAGATAACGCACCCACCACGCGACGGCCTGCGGCCTCCTGAGAGTTCGACCGACCGATGTGCATGCACGCACGCACGCATGGATGGATGCATGCATCCCGCGTCAGGAGTGATACCCGCCAGGCGCTGGCGCGCTTTGTTTTGCCTGCCCTCTGCCAACCCCCGATCTGTGTGCTTGGCTGACGTGACGTGGCGTGACGTGACACCGCCTTTCGCCCTGTGCCAAGGCACCTATCTGTCCACCGCGGCCCGAGCACTCCCTGTGTGCACGAGCGAAAACACCCCCCGTCCCTGCCCGACAGAACGCCCTCTCTGCCTCCCACAAATGAATGAATATGAGAGAATGAATGAGAGAAAGAAAAAAAAGTCTGCGCAGAAAAGAATGCACGCTTTATTTTGCGAGGCAGAGAAGAAAGACCCTCTGCCCACGCCAACTCTCCGCCTCCCTCCGCCCGGTCTGTGTGTTCGCCCTGCCCAAAGGGAAATCACCCCCGCCTTTAAGGGTGTTCGCCTGCGGCTCACGGGGAGAACACCTGCCCACACACCACCCACGCCCTGCGCACCCTTGCTTACTCCTCTGCCTCCGCCCTTCGAATTCTCCCCACGGAAGGGAGAAGACACCGACCGACAGAGGGAGGGAAACCCTCCTCTCTACCAAGCCTCTCTCCAATAAAGCCTTCTCTGCCCTTCCTCCAACAACACCCTTTCTCCACCCCCGCCCTCTATCACCCTCCTCTCTTTTCTCCCTCCACCACGCCCTCTCTCCTCTCCCCTCCCCGAGCCTTTTTCTTTTCCGCCACAGGAAGGAAGAATGAAAGAGAGAGAGAGAAGAGAAAGAGCAGGCAGAGAGAAGGAAAAAGAAAAAAAGAAAGAGAGAGCAGAGACAGAGGCAGAGAGAAGGAGAGAAAAATAAAAAAGAAAAAAGAAAAAAGAAAGAGAGAGCAGAGACAGAGGCAGAGAGAGAAGGAAAAATAAAAATAAAAAAGAAAGAGCAGAGGCAGAGAGAGAGAAGGAGGGAGAAGGAAAGCCTCCTCTACTGAACAACCCGAATCCATTAAGCCTTCCCTCTCTATATGCCCTCCTCTACTAACTTCCGACTCCGCCTTTCCTTGCCTTTCCATGCCTTTCCGAACCTTGCCTCTGCAAACACCGCACTGCCCAGGAAACTCTGCATTAAACTATCCTCTTCTTCCCACGCCCTTCTCTCCTCCCCTCTCCTCTCTCGCCTGCCTTCTTTTCTCTTTCTCTTTCTCTTTCCTGCCACAGAAGAAAGAAGAGAGGCAGAGCAGAGCAGAGAGAAGACGCGAAAATCGAGAAAAAAAAGACGGCCCTCTGCGTGCACCTGCGGTGCCCGGACGGCCTGCGAAAGCCCTCTGCGCCCTCTCCCGAACTCCCCACTCCAAACAAGACCTTCTGCCACTCCAATTCCCGAATAACTATAACTCCCGAATTTAACTAGTTCCATTTATTGCCTAACTTCCTAGTCTTTCTTTCCCGAATTCATCCGGTTCTTCTGCCTCGCTCAATCCCCTCCCCGAATAATCGCCTGCAGCTTCTTCTTTTCGTTATCTCTATAGTTCTTTATGAAATTCCCCGAATACCGTATCCTCTCCTTTGCCTTCGCCTCCAGCTCTGCAATCCGCGCCTCCGCTTTGCTCAGCTTTTCTTTATACTCTTCTAGCACCGCCCCTGGCTCTGCTTTTTCCTCCTGGCTTCTCTCCAGCTCCTCTGCATGCTCTCTTCTCTCATCCTCTAAGTCCTCTCTTTGCTCATCTAGCACACTCTTTAAAAACACACTTTCCTCCTGGCCTTTCCTCGCCCGCGCCTCCAGCTGCTTTCTTTCGGCGCTAAACTCTTCTCCTTGCCTTTTCAGCTCTGCCTCCAGCCCTGCAACACATTTTTTCAATTCCACTATCCGCCATGCAGTCACCCTTCGTTCGGCTTCAAACTCTTCTTCTTGCTCTTGTAGTACCGCCTCCAGCTCCGCAATACGCTCCTCTGCTTTGCTCAGCTTTTCCTTATACTCTTCTAGCACCGCCCCCGGCTCTGCTTTTTCCTCCTGCCCTTTGAGCCCGTCCCTGCCTGCCTCCTGCCCCACAAACACGCTCCCGAGCGCACTGCATGCCAGCACCAGCACCGCCCCGATGTGCACCAGCGCCTGTCTTTTTCCTTCTATTCGAAACATCTGTCTATTCATTCCGAAAAAAATTCCACGCGCTTATATTGGGTTGGGAGGCATCAAAGTGATGCACAGATCAAAATGATGCCAGTGCGCTGCGCGCAGAGGAGAGAAGAGCAGAGCAGGGAAGGGAAGGGGAGAACACGCCCGGTGCCTGCCGCCAGGCTAACGCGGCCCGAATAGAAACAGCCCTGCCTCTGCCTCCCCCACGCCAAATAAACCCTCCGCCCGCCTTTCGAAACTATCAATAAACCCAACCACCTCTCGCTCGCCCTTCCTCCTTCCCCAAAAACACTGCTGCTTGCTCTCTTTATTGTCTGCCCTCCTCCTCCCAGAACCGCGCCAAAGCCCGCTACTTCTCTCTGCTAAACGCCTGCCCCGCTTTTTTAAACACCCTTTCAACAAAGGATTCCTTTCTGCTCTTTCCCTCCGCCATCTCCTTTTCCAGCCCTGCTCTCTGCTTTCTTTCTGCCTCTATGACTTTTTTATCCTGCCCTTCAGCTTCACTTTTTCCTCCTGGCCTTTCTTCAGCTGCCCTGCACTCTTCCACTGCCCTGCCTCTAAGGCTTTTTTCACATCCTTTATTCCGGCCTTCAGCTCTGCAACCAAGTTTTCCAACCCCTTCACATATTCTGCACTCTGCCGCCTCTTGGCCTCTATGGCCTCTAAGTCTTCTTCCAGCTCCTCCATCCTGTCCTCCAGCTCTGCAACACATTTTTCCAACTCCACTATCCGCTCTGCACTCTTCCGCCTCTCCGCCTTCGCTTCTTTGTCCCCTACCCCAGCCCCCACCGCAGCTTTCCTCTGGCTTTTCTCCAACGCTTCCATCTGCTCTTTTGCGCCCTCCTCTCCCTCCGCCTGTCTTTTCTCTTTTGCTTGAAACTCGCGTCTATCCATCCCGAAAAAAGCACACGCGCTTATATTGGCTTGGAAGGCATCAAAGTGATGCGCAGATCAAAGTGACAGCCCTGCGGCCTGCCCGCGCCTGCCGCCACATAAAGCACCGCCCGAACAACAACCCGCCCTCTCCTAGGCCTCTGCCTGCTCTTCCAGGACACCGCGCGCGCGAAACTATTCAATAAATCCAACCCGAACTCTCTATGTGGAAGTGCCTTTCCTTTCCTTCTTTCTTTTTCTTTTTTTCTTTTTTATTTTTATTTTTGCAATGAGCCCGAAAAAGCCCCTCTGCTTGCTGTTTCCAGCGTGCGCAGGAAATCATTCAATAAATCTACCAGCACACTCTTCTACCCCCCATTCATGGATGCCTTTCTGCTCTTTCCCTCTGCTCTCTTCTTCTCCAGCTCTGCAATCCGCCCCTCCAGCTGCTTTCTCTCCGCGCTAAACTCTTCTCCCTGCCTTTTTACCCTGCCCACCAGCTCTGCAACCCATTTTTTCAATTCCACCACCCGCCAGCCATGCACCTTTCTTTCGTCTTCAAACTCTTCTTCTTTATCCTTTAGCACCGCCTCCGGCTCTGCAGCTTGCCTCTGGCTTTTCTCCAGCGCTTCCGCCTGCTCTTTTGCGCCCTCCGAGCTCTCTGCCTGTCTTTTTCTTTTTGCTCGAAACTTGCGTCCAACCATCCCTGCAAAACTCCGCGCGCTTATATTGGCTTGGATGCAAATGCATCAATGTGATGCGCAGAGCAAATGCGCAGCCCTTCGCGCGCAGAGGGACCACGCCCGGCCTGCGGCCTGTCGCCAAATAAAACACCGCCCGAGCAGCGCACACCCGCCCTCTGCACACCGTCCAAACAGCCCTCCCGAAACAAGCGCCCTTTAAACCCTCTTTTATCCCCCCTTCCTTGCCTCCTCTGCCGCCTGCTACTTCCCTCTGCTAAACACCTGTATCATTGTTTAAGCCCAGAGCCCGAAGAAACCCGAATTCTTCCCTTTGCTCTTTTTCTCTGCTCTCTCCGCCTCCTATGCTCTCTGCTTCTCCAGCTCTGCTCTCTCCTTTCTCTCGGCCAGCATGGCTTTTTCCAGCTCTTCTACCCTGGCCCTCAGCTCTGCATTTTCCTCCAGGGCTTTCCTCAACTTCTCTGCACTCTGCTGTCCCCCTGCCTCCAGCTCTTCTATCCTGGCATCCTTCCCCGCATTTTCCTCCTGGCCTTCCTCCAACTCCTCTGCACTCTGCCGCCTCTCTGCTGCAAACTCTTCATCTCTATCCTTTAACGCCTTCTTCAACTCTGCATTTTCCTTCTGGCTTCTCTTCAGCTGCTCTGCACCCTTCCGCCCCCCTGTCTCTAAGGCTTCTAACTTTTTTCCCAGCTCTTCTACCCTGGCCTGAAGCTCCGCATTTT